GTTCATATTCAAAATGTTCAAACGCTAAATGTTTTATCATTGAATCAATAATTTCACTGCCAAACAAGCAGAAAATACATTGATATTTATTTAAGTTATGAAGCTTAAAATGCTGCAAATCAAAAACAGGATTAATTAACATTTTGCTTTCATTATGAAAAATTATTTTTATTATTCTATCTCATAATTACATGAATTAAAAATTTCTTAGATCTCATAAATTAATATACCTTTATGTACACAATTCAATTGATAACAAAATAAAAACGGTAAAACTTCATAAATGAAGGAAAATAAATTAAAAATAAATCATGTAAATATTAATAGTTAAAAGATTAAAGATTTCCTTATTTGTTAAATCTGACWTATGCTTACTGTAATCATTAAACTTGGGTGGAGTGCAAAAAATCCTTCACCGTCATCTTTATTCGCACAAATGTAGCAACAAAATTTATCACACTGTTGATGTTCTTGATTCAAATGCTCAACAAATTCGTTTTGGAGATAACAAGAAAAAACACAGCAACCTTAACAAATCAAAGTTAAAACAAAGTTTATTAATACTGATGTCAAGAAATGAAAATTAACTATTACTATTTAATCGTTATCAAAAAATAAAATAAGTATTAATGTACACTCATAAAATGACTACAAAATAGCCGAGTTACGGTATCATTGAAGTTTAGTGACTATACATAGATAATATAATATATCATGCTTACATTATAACATATTATTATTATTATTATTATTTATGCAACCACAATTTTATGCCTAGTGTCTACAACCTACCTACAGGGCATTGTTTACAAAATAAATAATATTATAACCGATAAGAGATTTAATACTACGTTTTTCATCCAACTATCCAAATAGTATAGTCGAGACCGCATTACCGCAGACTAAGAGCACACGGCTTACGTTTGCATGATGTAATTAGTATTACCAATGTAGTAGATAACGCAAATTTCATATTATCACGATAAAGTGCGATATTTTATCTACACGAGWGCAGGAAAATTATATAACTAATTTTAACTGTGGTGTGGCTATTTTTTATTATTATTTTATGTTGATAACATGTTATTCCACTTACACCAGTATAGCGTAGTTTCCAAGTAGTAAGTGAACCCTGGGGTGTGGTGTCAACTTAGACCATATATAAACTTATTGTATTAATATTTTAACTTTCATGTTTCAAATATTGTATAATATGATCTAAGGGGGTCAATTTTCGYGTGTAGCACAAAATAATTAAACACTTGGAAAACGCTATTAAATATAGAATAAGATATATTATAGATCCATAGACCTGGAGTTAAAATATTATTATGGTRGCATAAGTGCGTAAGGAATAACTAGAATAACAATCCTTGTTTATTGTTATTTGTTAAAGCGACTTAGCGACGTCAAAATCTTCTTATCAGATCAAACAAACCTACTTCATTGCTAGCGCTACCAGCGGAACTTGTACATATTACCATAAACCCATAATGGAGTGATAACAGAGGGAGAAGTCCCGAGGCAACATTGTTAGAAAAGATAACATAAACCTTAGGTAGTTAGATCCTGTATATTACTAATTTGCTAACAATGTTGGCATTTGACAACCTATAATAGCCAAGGTATGAGGATTTAATTTAAGATTAAAGTTCCTCATTTGGAAGCAAATGAGGAATAACTTATAAGTAGTAAATTATCAATACTACGCGTACCGTGACACGGTCACGGTGTGAATATTGTAAAAATAGTAGTTTATTTATAAATGATTGAAAAATATTATATCGTATAAATAACTATTTATTTTTAAAATTTCTTTGCGTCTGAAAAAATAACAGTATAGCTGATATTAGCGAAAAAAAATCAAAATCACTAAAATTAATGTTTTTTTTTTTTTTTAATAACCACATACCTGACTAAAATCTTAAATATTCGTTTAAATATCTAATTTTTTCACAATTAAACTACGAATTTAAAAAAAAAAAGCGGGTAAGTAGGAATCGCTCTGCTGTACATTTGGGGTGGGGTGGACCTCTGACTAGGGTAGGTTAAATTTCAGTGCAATGATGGGTATCATTGTATACGAAAAACGTTTCTGAACGGAGACGGTTTATCTGTCTAGGATATATTATAGATTATTAAAATTTTTCAAATCTTAGACTTAAAAAGAAAATTTTTTATGAATTTCTAACTTAAAATAATTTGCAAATTTTCATAATTTTTACGTATGTTTTAAAAATTAAAATTTAAATGCTTGTAAAAAAAAATGTGACTATGCATTTCTTTTATTTTTCAACAGCTATTGTAAAAATATTTTAGGAACCTTGTATTAAATTTTCAAATCTTAGATATAAAAGG